TGTGTGTGATCTGTTGTGAATGAGTGAGGCAGCAGAGCAGCTGAGTGAGACTAACAAGTGGTTGCCATGCAGCAGGAGCAAGCGCGCGTGCTTCTAGAGGGAGAGATAGAGAAACAGAATGATAATGAGCAGGAGGCAGCAGCGAGCGCTAGGACAGGAGCCGCATCTCTCAGGAGAAACACGTAGAACGGATTGATCCAGCCCCACGCCTCTGTTCCTCTGTCTTCTCCTTTTTTTTACCCCCCTTTACCCTCACCTGGTTTTTTTGTTGTTGTTTTTTGTTGTTGTTTTTTTTGCTCAGATGTGAGCTGCTAGCCTAGCGCATCCAGCATGCCAGCAATGGGTGGATTAACGGATACACGTCTGAGAGCTCCAAGGAGGAGGAGGAAGAGTTGCTTGCAGGAATCGGCAGCAACAGGTCTGTAAGGATGGCATGGAAATGATGGTGAGGCACCTGCATTTTCTTCCTCAGACATCCTAACTAGAGAATCTGTCAATGCAGTGCTTCTCTTTCACCCTTTCCCCACTCCCTCCCTCAGCATACTTGTGCAGCGTCCTCCTCCTCCTCCTGCCCCTCACTCCACTTCCTTTCCCCCCCTCATCTCTTCGTGTGTATTTCCTAGCCAATCCACCCCACCTCCCATTATAACTTCACCCACCTGCTGCGTGCCATAGGAGCAAATTTGACTGATGCAGGCAGACAATCCGCTCGTGTGACTGAGCCAGTTTTGTGATTATGTGTGGTCAATTACAGTCACTCTCTTCTCGCTGCCTAACAGAATTACGCTGTCTGGCAGGCATCTTGCTCACACGCAACAGGTAGAGATGTGATCCTCCTAAGCCAAACACATGCAGGGCTGCGTCTTCATGAGAGGTGACGCTTTTTTTGTTGTTGTTTTGTTTTGTTTTTTTAATTCGCACATCGGCTCTGTTTGTGTTGTGTTGCTGGCTGTGCACTGCGACACACTGTCATTCTAACCTGACCTGAAGGAATGCATGTAGCCACACAACCTTGGCTCATTTTCCTGCACCCAGTTCGCAGGAAGTCTTTTATTGCAGCACCTCTGTGCTCATGCTTGCTGTTTGCAGCTTTCTGCAGAGAAATTCCCAAAGGGGCAGAGCTGGACAGATCTCCGGACATCTGCTTGATGTCTAAATCAGGAGCTATTTAAAGATACCTGTACTCCTTCATGTTTTATTCAGACCTGCATTTAAATAAGAAAGTTCTGCATGCATCTCACCACGTCAGCACTCTTATTCCTCCTCATGTTGTCAGTGCTAATTGTGAGTTATGAGGTGCATTACAGAGATCTCCCCCAGACGAGAGGCAAAACGGGACTAATCCGAATAAATCCTTTAACCCCTGTCCAGGTGACATGCAGGCTTCTAAACGCCTGACCCCATCTGTGAAGAGATGAGGCACCTAGACGTGGGCTTACCATGAGCAGCGTCCACTTCAACCACTCCCTTGCTGCCATGAGTGGAAACGACATAATGGCGCACTCTCTGACTCTGGAGCAGAAGACGGCGTTTGCTTTCGTGGGGATGCTGCTGGTGTTCTTGGGACTGCTGATAATACGCTGCTTCAGGATCCTGCTGGACCCCTACAGCAGCATGCCCTCCTCCAACTGGGCCGATGGCATAGAAGGGCTGGAGAAAGGGACGTTCGAGTACGCCCTCACCTAACGGTGGGACAAGACTACACGAAAATTACGAGAAAAAAACACCCAAGCCTGCACAACCACCGCACCTGACACCCCCATTAAAACACCTCCAAGTGAAACCACTTGGGGTTGTGGTTCATCACTTGCTTGAGCAGCTTCTCAGCTCAAGCTGCAAAGCTGTGTGTTGTGTGATGTGCGTGAATTGCTAGGTGAGAGAGCCTTTACTGTATGTGAGTATATGCGAACTGTGTGTGTGTATATAGGTGTGTGTGTGTGTGTGTGTGTGTGTCTTACTGGATGTGAGGCAGATGCTGTGTCACATTGGGTGACCTTCTGCCAGAGGGCGCGTATTTTAGCTCATCAATTGACAAAGAACTTGGCTGTAGCTCCCTTTAACCCACACCAACAAGCTGAATGTCACGACGAGGTGGATTTCTGTGGAACGGGGTGGGAGACTGAAGACTCAGGGACAAGATGCCTCACACAAACTTAGAACAGAGGACAGCGAGGTTGCACTTCTGCACAAGCGGAACAGTTCAGCACAAGACTGCACCTGGATGGATACAGGGTATTACGTCAAACTAGTGCTTTGCGAGCTACTCAAACCCAGTCTGTCGGGAATCTAAAGGAAAGCAGCCACTTTTTTGTTGGATCGGTCCTTTTTCTGGTGTCTTGCTTCCTGACGTCCTGCGGCAAATAAGCAAACTGTGACCTACATTGTGGTATCCCTGTTTCTAAATAATGCAAAATGAGCTCAGAGATTGTACCGCTCCTGCGTCAGAGCGATGGTGAACTGAAAGTGGCCAAAGTTATATGGACTGACTGACTGATGAGCATAAGACAAGAGACTTTTTTTTTCCACTCAGAGCACTGTTGTTCCAGATCACTGGGAGGAACTCACTCAGCAGAAATGTCATATAAAACAAGGACGGGAAGTTTGTCAGCTCTACACTTGACCATATTTTCAGACCATCCCAAAACTCCTCCCTGCCCCAATCTCTTCCTTCCACCCAGAGGGAGACGGAACGGTCCGGAAAGCAGACCGTTTACAGTCTGGACTGTTCCGTTGATAATTTTTACGGTCTACTGTTTCTCCTTAGTGCTGTGAATCTGCCTTACTGTGACCTTCAATGGGTTTATGTGCCTTCATCTAGAAACATTAGAGCACCTGTTTGTGGGTGTGTGGGAGGGAGTGTGTGTGTGTCTGTGAGTGAGTGTCACATCATAATGACAGGCCAGTTGCTTGCTCCGCTGGTGATAGAGATTTTGCATTGATTTCATTTGATTTGATGATGTGAAATAAAAAGGATTTATTCACTTTAAATGTCGCAGCTCAGCGTTTTTTGCAGTTTGGGTGACGAATGGACATGTTTACTAGCATATTCTAGCATAGATGTATAAAAAGCCTTTAAAAAACTTTTGTTTCAGTGGCATGTTCTCATACAGAAAATGTAAAGAAAATCACAACATTTAAGAAGGAAGGACTCTATAACATGAAGAAATGGCTGTTTTTAACAAAATCACTGGTGCCATGTCGCTGACAGCTTTGCTGCAGATACTTTGCACGCTCCTTTTTTCTGTTGGACATCACATCATCTTCTTCTATAACATTTTAAAAACTTGGAAAACTCGGAGAGAGACCAAAGAGATAATTTCTCTTTGTGAAATCTCACTAGTTAGCCAACAATCCCAAGCCCTCTCTACTCTCTTTTAGTTTTCTGAGAACTGTGGTCATTGAAGAAAGTTGATTTTGTTGTCTGTTGAACCATTTCTGAGCTTATTTGGCCATATATTTTTATGTCTTTTAGCCTGCCGAAATTGTGACACGTGTACAGTAAAAAAAATAAATAAATAAATAAAAATCCTGGTATTTCAAAGACTTCACAATATCATAAAATCTAACAAGGTTCCCAGATCAATTGGAAGTAAAGCAGGATCAGCACAGGAGATCCTCCAACAGAATTAACAGTGGATATGAAGCTTGATCTGACTCTCACTGACCAGAGCACATGGTTCAAGTTGAAGTCCCAAAAGAGTTGATCATACTTCACTTGTTTACCTTTGTGATGGTAGGACAGAACTTGCTTTTTCCTTGCATGAGCCACAAAAAAGACATGTGGAAGCTTCTAATGGTTATTATTCTGACTTGGTGATCACAGGACGTTTTTGTCATAGTTATCCAACAGTGAGTAGTGCAGATATCACATGAAAATAACATCTTAATCATCCAGTCTATTCTCTAGCGGCTAGGAGAAATGGGCTACTGTGCCATGTTGTATATTCAAAAAAAATGGGAGTTGCTCATTACTAATTACAAATTCAAAGAAACTCTGAGCAACTTAGAAAAGTAATGTATGACTGAAAAATGTAAATTGCTTAATCTACATTTATTTGAAAAGGATACCAATAATTGTGCGACGGAATCAAATTTCTGTCAGAGATTAATTTTCCTTTTTCCTTTGAATAAATGCCTTGAAACTAAAGGCAGGTTTCTCCAACAGGTTTCAATATGAAATTATCCTATTTAAGTAAAACCTGAACCTTTACCAGAGCTGCCAATTAATGCAGCCAGCACTTTATAATCCGTGGTGTAACTGCGACCCATTCTACAACAAAGTTTCACATTAGGTATTTAAATATTTGTCCAATAAGGAGAGAGTGATAAAATGTTTAGTTTTCATCAGAATCTTCATGAGACTACAAACTCAAAAGCCATAAATGTGAATAATGTGCAAAATGTACTGATCATGTGGAAGAAAGCTGAGAGGGATTCACTCAGGCCTGTATGCAGCTGCAATAGGACACATCATGGGCTCATCCCATCCACTCCTCCCGCATCATTAGTCAGGAATGCAATTGTTTTTGCACCATTATCTACATCACCTATGTGACATTCTTATCTTTAAATATTTGCAGCAAGATAAAAAACTGTTTTTTTCCCTGAATGCGACAGGCCTGAATGAATGAAACAAGGATTACTGAGCCGTAAATCTCCTCCTACATTTTATTGTGTTTCAATTTAATTAAGTTGGAAACGTCTTAAGTCATCCCAAAGGGAAATGAAACATCCATGTTCTTTTAGATCCAATGCTGGTGAGAGGAAATTACAAAATAATTAACTGAGTTACTGTCAGAAAAGTTGCATTTTTGTTGAAAAATCTTTGTGGATTTTATGTTGGTTGGACAAAACCAAACTTTCGCTTTCATACAAATCTCCTTTTAAAAATTTAATGCATTTTCCATCATCACAGCATGTTTATTTGATTGTTTTAGTTACAATTTACTTTGACAATAAAGTTTTTACACCATATAAAGGGTGCTTATAAACGAGGCGAGGTTAAAGTTTAACCTTGTTATTTTCCAACCTTTTTGGCTTCTTACCCTGTGTAGCTCAGGGTCACATTTAGATGTCTGAGCTATAAAATGCTCTGCTAAATTTGGATTCTCACCCCCCTTTCTGAAGCTTTCACAGGATTTTATGAAAATAAAAAATAAAAAATTCAACCTAGTCAATAAGACTTCTGTCAAAGATGGCAGAAATCTGAGACATACTTAACCGTACTATCTGTAGACATGCATACATATAGAAATAACACACTGAGTGAGATCATGTGGATGTGTAACAATTACTAACAGTGATTCATAGGGGTATAAAATCATATTTCCATGAAGTGCTCAAACACTTTGAGATTGGAGTTAAGACAGCAATCGGCTCCACTCTGACCATCGATTAGTTGCAACCTCTCTGGCAAGGTACTTGCTTTTTCTCCAAAACTCAACTAGTTACTTACTGCAGGTAAGATAATGATTCTCATGACCTTCTCCTTAAAATCTGACAGAATAAAATGTTCATGCTGACCTTTTGAAATGAAACTAGGAAGCCTAATGTAGCTAATCCATTAGAATCTGTGATTCTTTTCCAACTGATTAAATATAATTTATTAATTAAACTGACATAATTTCTTTTGCAGGTAGACATTAAATAAATGACCAAAAATCTACTTTTGTTCATCAGTAACTAAACACCATAAATTATCTGACTTTTTTACACTTTTAGTCTCTCTCACTGTTCTACACATGGCAATGAGTTGATATAATCCAAATCTTCTGAATTTTTGTTTATCTTTCTGCTTATTTGTTTCTTATTTCTGTGTTGTTTTGTTGTGTGGAAATAATTGCACTTCTGTAAGTGCTCATGAGAGCTTCTTGTTTCATAGAGCAGGTTGATGAGGTGGCAGAATAATGGATCTTAACTTTGCTGATTATCAGGCATTAGCTTTATTACTTGTGGTCTTTGAACCCCCAGGCTTTGTCCTTGATGGTTTTTGTGATAAGGCCGGCTGATATAATAGATATTTTATTACTTTAGTCATCAAAAGTTATATTATGAAGTTATTTATAGACTTATAATGGCGATTTCCAAAAATAGCTACTGCCACTAATTTGCATGGAGAGATTAGTACGTTAGTCAAATGCTAAGCTTAGTTAGGTTTTCTTTTGTCCAAAGATGAAAGAACCTGGTGAGGCAAGTTGAAATCTTGAATCAATCGAGACTTTGCTCAGTCTGATTTATAAACTCAACCCCTCTAGTCGCCTTACCAACTTTGACATATCTTCATGTTTCATAATAGGCATTAATGATTAGAAAACTGTTAAGCTTAATTATTTACTTTAAATCGATTCAAAGCTACATTTTTCCTTGAGCCAATACATACTTTTCTTGGATTTCCTGCTAAGTGGTTTTTGCCATTACCTTAAATGAATATTAACTTTTTCATTGAAGACCTTAGGGTGAGCAATTTCAGAGCGTTTATTAACATTAATGCATATGTAAAGCTTTAAAATGACACCAGATTGTTTTAGAAAATGTGTGTGTTTCTATGTGGAGTGTATAGCTGAAGAGCATGTGTTATTATTTTTTCCTCTGACATGCAGTGAGCGACAACAGCAAGCAGAAAAGTGATGGCATTTTCCTAAATCTTTAAACTTCTTTAGTCTTATCCATCCGTTATCTTCCGGTTATCTGGGGTTGGGTTGCGAGGGGAACAGCCTAATTAGGGAGCCCTAGACTTCCCAGCCACTTGGGCCAGCTCCTCAGGAGAAATCACAAGGTGTTCCCAGGGAAACATAGTCCCTCCTGGGTCATCTGGGTCTCCTCCTGGTGGACGTGTCCAGGAGGCATCCAAACCAGATGCCAAGGTCACCTCGACTGGCTCCTCTCAACGTGGAGAAGCAGTGACTTTACACTTAGTCCTTCCTGAGTGACTGAGCTTCTCACCTTTTCTCTAAGAGAGAGCCCAGAAACCCTGTGGAGGAAACTCATTAAGTCATTTCAGCCGCTTGTACCATCAATCTTGTTCTTTTGGTTACTACCTAAAGCTCATGACCATAGATGAGGGTACGAATGTAGATCGACCAGTAAATCGAGCTACCTCTTCACCCTAACAGAGTGGTACATTCACCAAGGTAATCAAAATGGATCTCTTCAACATCTTGGGTGGGTCTAGAAATTTTGTCCATAAAGATTATGAACAGAATTGGTGACAAATGACAACCTTGTTGGAGTCCAATTGTCACTGGAAACGAGCCCAACTTATTGTTACAAATCCGAACTAAGCTTTGACACCAGTCAACTCTTTCGATATGCAAGATAATTTGCCTTATGAAAGATGTCATACCATTTGAACTTTTTTCACATTTTGCCACATTACAGCCAGACTTTATTGTATTTATTGGGATTTTATGTGTCAGACCAAGAGTAACTATGTGTGTTGGAAAACTAACACACATTGCTCTGGAGGCAACATCCTCAAGGTGATACAGGTGGTGGCACCATTATACTTTGGTTTTCTTCTACATGGAATGGTGAATAAGGGACAGAGAGGTGTTATTGGCTCTAGGATAGTGAGAACTAAATCATATCCCACTACTTAGCATTGCAAAGAACAGGGGAAGGTTTGGTGAATCAGCAAAAGTCTTCCCTTCCCGGCATACAGCCACAAAACGAGCTCAAAATATCATTACAGAGCATTATTCACATATTTGTTGTGAAAACAAACTGTCGTGATCTGATTGAAAAGACGAATGTTAGGAGTTGTTGGTCCATTATACGCCGACGTCCTTCTTTCTCCAGCATGACTCGATCTTTATCATGATTGCGGAGAATCATTCCAGCCTTGTTTTGATGCTGATGAGCCCTGCCGTACAGTTGTTTGTCTTCTTTCAGTATTCACATAAAAACACGTGCTGGAGCGTGCTTCTTTTGTCAGCAAACAATACAGCCAAGGTCAGATTTCAAGTCATTAGCCAGGCTTTCACTGTGCA